AAGGAAGTGTAGTTCGAACGACAATGGCGCGACGTGCGGGACCCCGACGGAGAGTACGAGCTGTATAATATTATCGTAAAACATCCGATGTATCGCCAACGTTCATTCAAATCAAGAACGTTATCGATCGCGCGCGCGATGTACATACGCGCGAGATGATTGCGTTATCTCGTTCGTTCCATTTCGTTTCGAATTCGTCGAATTTTTCGAAGTCGACTCGCGCGATTCTCGAATCTCCCTGCGTCACCCGGTTAGATCGCGTCGGCATTTCGATTGAGCGATAATGCTTCCGATTTTCACAGTGTGACGCGTCTCTCTCTCTCTCTCGTTTCGTATTCACGTCGTGACTCGTATATTTCAATCGTTAATATATCTTTCCGAATACCAGATCCATATATATTATGTATTTTCAAACGTGTGTCGCGACACGTTGTCGCTTATCCGTCGTCGCGTCTCCGTGGCGGTTCGTCAACTCGTTTTTGAGAAACGACACGTGTGTGCGACGAAAGGATACAAATTCTCAACTCGAAAGTAGCAAACGCTTAGACTGACTCAATGTTAACAATTGCATGGAAAAAAAAACGATTCGGAAAAAGAATGTGAGATTGCGATTCCGCAACGCTCACATGGGTGATACAGCAAATACTCTCTATTTCAACGGCGAGTAATTCACGATTTAGAGAGATAAGAAATATCGTTCGGTTAGAATTTACATTCGCAAATCCGAGAAAATAGTCGAGATCACACACACGGGTGATCGTTTATTATTAATGTTAGAAAAGCAAGTAATGGCTCGGCGATTTTCCGAGTGCTCGTTGAAAGTGCTGGCGATTGTATGCAAATCGATGAATTAATATGCCGGTATTAGAAACCGAACGGACGCCGAATTCCTCGAGGCTTACGAATCTTGCGTAAGCAAATGTGTTGAGGGCGCCGCGCTCTGGAAAGTTCACCCCGGTCCCTTTCCTGCCGACGGGCTTTTCATCCTCGTTGCCGTTACGGCAATGCTTTTCGTTCGTTCTTAACGATAACGGTCGAACAAAGAGCCTGGCACACCGGACGTAACAGGCACTAGAGTTCAGCAACGCCAAACGCCCGAAGCTACGTATCGATAAGTGGTACGAAGCGCGGGCGGTACGAAGAGAACGGTTTAGGACGAGAGGCTGGTACACGAGGGTCTCTTTACAGCGGTTGATTGCGAAAGAGAGAAAGAGAGAAAGAAAGAAAGAAAGAGACAAAGAGAGAGAGAGAGAGAGGGAGAGGGAGAGAGAGCAGAAAAATGCTGAAAGATAGAGATTGGGAGCTCCGTATGTAGGCGGAAAAATGACCTTTGCTTGTTACCCCAGGAAGATCGAACATACTATCGCTCGCATATATGCCGCGATGACTCGAGGCGTGTGTTTTCACATATTTACTAGATTTATACCGGATATAAAGTATACACAGCAAAATAATTAAATGTCATATGACTTTATCATTTTTTTTTTACTGCAGGAAAAAGCTTTTATTACAACACGTGTATAAGGCAAGTAATTACAGCGCTTCATTTTCTATGATATAATACATTTCGTTATTAAATACACATATACATTCCACTACAATACGTATAATTTTCTTGATATACATTACTTTTACATATGTACGTAAATACATGTATATAAATATACATATATAAAAATAAATACATATATATATATATATATGCGTAAAAACATATTATAAATACATATTATAAATATACATAAATAGAAGACG